CGGGTGGTAACTGGGAAAGGGAGGCATTGGAAAGGCCACTTGTGCATTATCATTGATGCTCATAGCACAAGCCACAGGCCAGGGTTAGGAGTCCCTAAGTCACATGACCGCATAACAGTGACACTGAGAACAGTGTGTAGAACAGATGTGCCATGTGACATGCCCTGAATCTGTAGCAGTCAAGTTATTACAAGGCGCTTCCCCCATCATAAATGTAACTCACAGTATTTGAAGCTTCAAAATCTGCCATAAGCTGGTGAAAGAGTCCCCAGTATAAGAAAGCAAAACAAAGGGCCCTCTTTTATAGATCCCAAGCATATAATCTGAAGACATCATTTAAGGGATGTTATCAAAAAGAAAACATTATTTCTTCATTGAGTCATCAGCAAGATGAGAGGCATTAAAATGCACAGTGCCTAGGAATGCAGGCAGTATCCATAAAATAATCTCAGAATAAAATCAAGGCAGTATCCATAAAATAATCTCAGAATAAAATCAAGGCAGCATGGCAGATAAGACAAATCCCAAGAACTGTACAGAACATAGAGGTTCCTAAATGTTTCTAGATCCTAGGCGTGAACTTCTCATGACCCTTGGTTTTATTGCTATCCAATTAATTTTTTGTAAAGTATATTTAGCTGCTTTTAAACAGATTGCCTTAACTTAAGCTTCTCACAGAGGGTTGCTGCATAAAAACTATCCCTCCCCAGACTTTGTCAGGAGGCTGTTCCAAAGGAAGTGGGGGGCAGTCTGTGTCATTCTTCAATCCTTCATGTCGGGGGAATTAATACTTGCAATTGCATTTTGAGATAGTCCAGGGACTTCCTTCTCTTCAATTTTCACTTTAAAAGTGAAGAGGCAAGTACTTGCCAACACCACGGCTATCATGTGCTTTGAAAATGGCTAGTACCACTTTTAATATATATTTTAAAAAATACATCTATATAGGGATGTGTAAATCAGCAGAACTCAAACATGCTCAAGTCCTCTGAATTCCACCTTAAAGCTTATTCTGACTCAAGTCTGTATCAGATGTCAAATTCTGCCTTTCTTCTTTTGACATGAAAAGTTTTCTGCGTGATTTTCATCCCTATTCTTCCCAGCATAGACCTCATTTATATGAAACTTGGAAAGATATGCATTATTCTCCCATTGATTAAAATGTATTTACGTGCATTTTTCAAATGCATGCATGGTGTAGAATGCATTCTTTTGGTCTGCCAATCACCCTGCAAGCTTGGATATGTACACATTTCACCGGCAGACTTCATCCAAATCTGCATTTGGCCCAAAATGTGTGAACTGTATAAATCCTGATTAAAAATGCCAACAAACAAACAAAACTAACAGAAACCAATTTCTTATGCATCTATACATGTATATCCTATGGTTTGGTTTGGGGAAATCAAAGGTGGTTTAGCAGTTCCAGACTCTTCCAAAGGACAAAGCATGCCATAGGCGGGATGTCTGGAGCTGCAAATATCCATTTAAAGTGATGGAAACCTGGGGAGTAAGGAAGAACCGCTGGGCTAGTTTATAATATAACTGCAAGTACCCTCCCCTACAAACATCTCCCCAGTCCTAATCTTCGGGGGGGGGGGGTTGATGCACATGTCTTTATTTGTGTGCAGCTGTTATATGCTGCTCTTCAACCAAAGAGGAGCCCAGAGCATCTAACAAAGATAAGTAGCATGTCAGTACTTTAATAATCAGCATCATTAACCCAATATGAGGAAATTCAGGTGGAGAAGCAGCTGACACCTGAAACAGCCCCAGCTGGAGATGTAAGTGGTGTTTACATACACCTTTTTCTGTATTAAAGAACACATGAATTCAGATGAATACAGCTACCAGATAAAAACAAGATACTTAGGACTGACAATAGCATGCATAGCAATATATTCCAGCTGATGACCTAAGCCCACTTAAATGGACAGACAGGCATTGTGAAGCACATGTGGCCCACTGGCTTTATTCTTTAGCAGAAAGGAGGGGAAAGCTGCCAGACGACATGCAAAAGCACAGTGTTCATGTTACAAATTGTAGACCTAGTGGTTCTCTTCCCTCCCCTGCCATTCCGACGGCAGAAGGAAGCTAGGCATCAATGCCTTTTTACAGGAGAGACAGAAAAAGAAATCTGGAACTGCAGCAAGTCTGTTGTTATGTGAGATATTCAGAGCTAATAGTAAAATCCCTCTTCGCTCCGTACTGTGTAATGGTTTAAGTAGAAAATATGGTACAAAATGGTATGTTTTGGGTATAACACCAAGCCATGTTTGGGCACCATGCAAACGAGCAAATCAAGCCCTGATATAGCTATAAGGAACAGACTGGAAATTGCTGTTTCCTGTTTTAAATCTACTAATCAGTGTATCTGAAATGTTGAGAGAGGAGTGCAAATTTGGGTTAATTGACACAGAATTTATGATCCTGGCTTGTGAAAACAACTATACTTTAAACTAGCCAGATTTTCCCTCACTTAGGGTTCAAAGATAATCTCCAGTTAGTTTAAAACAGAGATTCAGAGAACAATCAGTATCTAAGGGGCCAGGAAGTCCACTGAGTCCAACCACCTGCTCAGTGCAGAACTCTAAATTAAAGCATCCCTCACAGGTGGGCGTCCAGCTGCATCTTGAATGCCTCCAGTGTGGGAAAGCCCAAAACTGCCAGATTGGGAGGATCCCTTCTGAAGACTCCTGCTCACCTTTGTGGCAGAGCTGGGGGAGCAGCAGAGTGTTCTATTTCTGCCCATTCATGTAGCATTAAACTGTGGTTTAACTTCACCTCCAAAATGGGCCACTGCCTCCCTTTTGAGAAGATTAGTGGGTTGGATACAGTGTCACTTTCAAAACCTTCCACTTAAAACTGTGCCTCATAAATGATGGAATTATTCCTTCAGGTGATCAGGCCTATACCCGGTATTATAACATTTCTCAGATCCAACACTGGATCAGGGCAGTTATTCTTGGGACTTATGGAACCCTAGTTACACTTTTTGAAATACCAAGAAAAACATTCTTAAAATAAAGACACAGTTTCTAAATGGTGTGACGTGTGTCTACAAATATATCCTATTATTTGTTCACACTGTGCATTGCAGGTAGGAGATGAGTGCCTTTCCATATAACAGGGAGATTATATCCAGCAACACTAATAAGTGAACCTCTACATGTGCCAACCAATATGACACACTTTGTCTTTTGTTGTTTGATTCATCAAGGGTGTAAGCCATGTATTTAGCTTCAAACTCTACTCTGCTCCTAAAGGAATTTGTCTTACAAAGCTCCACTTCTTCAGCACAAAGGAAATCTAAAGAGGAAGCAATTAATCCAACCCATGCCATGTTTTAAAGTGATATCATTTTAAGCATTCCCATTCTCTGTACTAAAGTCATGCTGTGAAAATTTGCATTTAAGACTTCTTGCAAATTAATCCTTCAGGTAAAGCAGATTCGAAAATACAAATAAACTAAATTAAAATAGTGCCTTCACCCCACCAAATAACATTTGATAAAACCTTAAATAACATTTACATACATATTATATTTCAAAATGCTGTATTAAGCTTGAGCTCGGCTTATGTTTTATTGGAATTTCCAAATAAATTAAAGCCATTTATCATTAAAAAAACAGTTCTAAAATATCTCATTAACTTTGCATCCAAATGCAGGCATTATAAAGCCTATTCCAGCTAGGTCTGAAGACAGGAGCCACCAGAAGCGCGCTATAAGAAATGATTGGTTTCAACTTCATGGCACGATCTTTTTTTTTTTTTTAATGAAATTTGATACTCTGTGGATGCTGCATTGATTAAGGAGAATGCAGATGTAGTTGGTGCTAGTAAAAATGAGGGGTGGGGGAAGTTCACTTGTCAAGATGAAAGGAGATGTCAGAATTAAAAGCAACGTCGCCAACCGATTAATGCATTTTTAAACTTTGATTATTCTGTCTTTTTACTCTTTAACTGAGGTATTTACCTTGAATTAAGTTAATTTAAACTGTGCAAGATGAATAAAGGCACATTTTGAGGGATCCTGAGGGGAAGGGAACACTTATTCTGAAGTTAACTCACACGTTAGCAAACAAAATCTACCCTTCACGGATGGAAAAGCCACTTTCGACATTTTCATTACATTTATGCATAAGAAATAGACTTGGGTGCAATAATACTGAAAAGCCAAAACGTTGTGTAAGCTAAAGCAACAAAGAGCCCACGAGTACGGCAAAAGATCCAGACGGAAACACTGTCCAGACTGGTTTCAACAGAGTTCTCTCACTTCTACTACCTGCAGTTCTTAATGCGACAAGAAAGCCAAAGCCAGGCTCGGGCATTCTGAACCATAAAAGAAACATCCTGTGCCGAGTTAATGCAAATTCATTCACTGAACACAGAAACTCTTGCCGCTCTAAATTTTGTGCTGAGCCTCAATTTCAGTTCTGTTTTGGAGCAAGAGCAGCACCAACCAACACAACACTGGCCAGAACCATCTGCTAGGTTTAGGTACAAAGTGGAAGGGAAAACTGGCTGTATCTTTCCTTTCACTCATGTGCATTCATTCTGATAACATTCGGTGCAAGGAAGAGAGAACCAGAGGATCTGTACAGAAAAGAGGCTGAACCGGAGGGGTTACTGTTTTCTCAGTCTGAGCAATGAACTGGGGGCTGTCGGGGAAATCATCAATTCCCAGCTGCAGTTCACTTTCCCAGGCTTGTGCCTTTCAGTGCTCATCAGTCCTGATCAGCATGGCCAACAGTTAGGAATCCTGCAAGTTCAAAACAACCCGGGCACCAGGATGGGGAGGGCTGCTCTGTGGTTAATTGCATCGATTCACAGGCTGAAGCTTTGGCCTCCTACTTAAGATAATCATATTTTATACCCATATAGGGAATTAAAAACACAGCCACCTCCGGTTTCAATTCTGGCAACTATAGCCAGAGCAAATGTGTTCTCTCCCCCCTCCCAAAAGCCATTTCTTCCCGTGCTCTTAACTGGAGAGTTACCTGCATAATCCGTTCTTGCATAATGTCCATCTTCTGACTTTGTAGTGGTGGTTGTGTTATCTGAAAGATATCAGGACATTTTATTTCATTATGTTCTGATACGGTATGCCTGGGAATGCATGAGAATATAGTTTCAGTTCACGTTTTTATCAGGATTTACCCAGCCGGCACCTTTCAGGTTGAACACTGACTCAGGCAATCTGTGGTCAAAGTCCACGGCTGTCTGTGCTTGCAACATGTTCTGTGGACCAAAATCAAGGACTGCATTTGGCAAGAGTGCATGAACAGAATGGCACTTTTGAAAAATATGCACAAAGGTGCTTTAGTCCCCTGGAGAACACTGCATACATGTCAAAGTTACATGCAACTGATACAAACATTTGGAAAAAGAGGCATGGAAGTGTGTATGGATTTTCACGCAAAAAGACAAAACACAAAGCTAGCAATACAGCTGTTTTGGAATGTGCTCTGACCCAGAGTTTGGAGAAAATGGCCAAGCCTGGGCTTTGATGATTCACACACATCCCTAAATATATTATGTTTTTATTTAAATAAAAAATTTCAACCTAAATATTCCTGCTCAGGTGAATCATGACTGCACTCCCAGAAGCCAGCTGTACTCTGGCAGTGAAATATAAGGCATGATATACCCTTGCCATTTCTCTGTGGAAGCCAACCCAAGCATTGGAGCAATCCTACAAGACTGTCAGCTCGGATATGCTCGCAGAGGGCTTGCCATTCTGAATGGGTTTTCAGGCGAAAGTCACCCTGAAGATGCAATGCTGGCATGTATATGGAGATTTTAACCCGGGGACTTAATACATCATCTGACATTCATATATCTGAGCCCTATGGCTAAAAGGGTGGGATAAAATCAAATAAAGGAAGAAATATCTGAGGTGGAACAGGCCACTGCAGATATGCATGCCACAGGCCTGGCTGAAATAAAAGCATGTGGCTGGTTTAATAAGGGCTGTCCCACCATCTGCACAGGTGGTACAGCAACCAGGGAAAGAACCTTTCTGTGGATGCCCCACATTAGGACATCTCTGCTTACTGAAGTATGAGCAGCAAAGTCCTGAGTAGTGTTTTGGTGCCTGTTGAAAATGGATCTGTCTTGCCAGCATTTGTTGTTGCTAAGCCCTAACTTGGTAGGTTTTTTGTTTGCTTTGGTCTTTCTAGTTTAATGGTTGCTCTAATGAATTTTGTACACCACCCTGCGATTTGATTATGTGTGGTGGTATATAAATATTTTATATAAATAAATGAAAAAATAAAGTGGCTGTTACATTCACTTGGATGGTCCTCTTCATGAGCAAAGCTCTGACTCTGAATGTATAATAAAAGGCAAAATAGTGGTCAAGACGAAATATTTCACAACTACATACTTTTATAAGCAAACTAAGGGCAACATTTTGGAATCATAAATATATATTTACTGTGATTGGATTTTTTGAAAGTATAGTTCTGGACATTTCAATCATCATGGCCATTATTTAAGACAGGGTTAAAATAATTATACAGAGCCTTTAATAAAATGCAACCTATTTAATATGTAGGTTTAGGACATATGGTTGGATCTATGTGTGTCAAAGATGTGTGTGGGGAATATATTATGACCTTCAGATTTTTCTACTCAGTGGAAATACAACAGAAAAGAGAACATGATAATAGAAAAAAGTTAAAAACCAGTTTTGTGGGTACCCCAGTGCGCTTCGTCCATTCCGTTCCCCCCCCTCACTGTATCAAATTTAGTATTTTAATGATCAGCTCCCTAAATTTTAATACACAGGAGTGTACCAGAATTTCATTGGGTGGGTGGGTGGGTGGGGGGGAATTTCTGCAAAGCTTTGATCAAACCACAGGTGGATAGTTTCTCAAATTAAGATGGCATCTGGCAAGTTGACATATTTCCAAAGACTGACCACCTGGCTCTGGGATTATGAATGTACAGCAGATTATACAAAGTAACGATAAAATCAGTGGACATGTAGACTCCAGTATGACCAGCATGCATGGATAGTTAATCCTGCAATTCTTGTAGCCCAGGCCAAAGGCTTCACTGTTTTTACAAGCCTAATTCTACTCAGGAGAAGCTCTTGGGGATTGTATTCTAGCGATGGGAAGGGACAAGGGCAAAGAGGGCAAGGCTACGGCAGGGCCCAAAATACAAAAATATCAGTGCATGGCTCTTGATGTTCTTTCTGCCAGCAACTGAGTAGAACTTAGTAAAGACATTACAACTTTTCAGAATGGGGGAAATGCTGTACAAAAACAGGGAAGCCAGCCCATGACTGGCAGCTGGTGGAACAGGGCAGGGCAAGAGGAATCCAAAGGGGCTTGTAGGAACCTCGGGTGGGCTGAACGTGGCCCCTGGGCCTAGGGTTGGGATGATCCAGAATCTGTCCCTCTTCTTCTTGCGCTCAGCTCTCACTGAGGAAATGAGCTGAGCAGAGAGAAAGTATGCAAATGCTTGTAGAATTCTGGTTGTGTAACCAGAAACCTTTCAGATCATGTGTAGCACGCAGCTTGCAAGTTCTGTTCCAGCCGAAGAGGAGGCCTGTTTCCTAGCAGGTGTCCCAGCAAATGCTCAGTACACTTGGCACCAAGTCAGGCTCTGGGCCGTGAAAAAGCAGGCCTTCAGCTGGGGAGCCGAGCCCAGGGAATCCGATGGATTCTGTCCCCCAAAATGGACCCCTTGAGAGTCTCTGTCCCAACTTATGCATAGTAGCCTTGACATAAGTTGGAGCATAAGTCTGAGATTTTTGTGTCTGGAAAGTAAGAGAGTCTTCTTTTAGTTTCTGGGAGCTTCATTTCATCCATCATTCAAGGTATGCAGTGGAAATATCTGTGCCCAGAGCTAGCATAGGGATGGGTAAATGTGTGATATTCAAATCTGCAAAGTTTGTTCAAACATCACAGCAATCCTTGAATCACACTCTCATTTCAGCTAACAGCTTGCTTTCCATGAGTGGGAAAATCCTGCAAAATGAACAGCTGTCAAGTGTGAACATTTTGCAAAAAAAAAAAAAAAATCACACAACTTTACACAATTTTCTCCTACAGACTAAATAGTTGATTTAAAATGAGCATATTCTGACAAAGCCGTGCCTTTCAGGAAAATTGTGCGTTTTGAGAAAAATGTGCATTTTGCACATTGTTCAAGTACACAGATGAAATTTGTTCAAGTACACAGATGGTCTGCCTGGAGCCGTCATTATATGTTTTTATTTAATCAATATTTTAATCTGTTTTAATGGGAACTGGTTTTTATTGTTTGTATTTTATTAATTCGCAGCCAGAGTGGAATTGTCAATTTATCTATTTTATCTTGATCTATGTTGTAAGCCATCCATAGACGCAAGTAATGGACAGCATACAAATTTTATAAATTAATTAATTAATATGTGAAATTTCCAGTGTTGCTCCTGTACATGTTCGGAATTTCAATGGAGCATTTTAAGAGATTTGCAAGATGAAATGAAATTTTCATAAAACCCCAGCTCAGGTGAAGTTCTTTCTTCATACACCTTGCGTTATTTCTTCTGTTCTGATCAGTTAGGTTTGTTTTTCTTTGAAAACTCTGCTTCTGTGAGGGAAAGAGGCTGAGTAATGAAGGAAGTGATGAGGACTTGGTGAGCCAAGGAAGATCGTAGCTGTAGTCGTGATGGAAATGAAATTCACGGTAGTACAAACATGCTGTCTCATCCTGTTTACTGAAGGATGTCTCCATGTAAAACAATGTTTCTGTGCACAGATCTGCCAGGCGGCCACCTGTCCACTTTAAAAGAGGACAGTGCTCTATTTGAAGGGCTTCCAGAGGATGGTCTGCCATCTAGAGGTCATCCTCTGTTCAAATCACTGCTCAGCCCAAGGCTGTTTTAGTGGTCAAGGGAAAATGGCAGGGGCCTTGAACTAGCCCATCCATAGGGCCTGGACAGCAAATGGCACAAGGCTCACAGGTTCACTGGTCACAGGTTTTCACACTATGGTGAGACATGGTGTATTTCTATTTAAATTATAGCAATTGATTCTAAATGTGCATCTATCTATCTATCTATCTATCTATCTATCTATCTATCATCTACAGTATCTGCATTAGCAAATGCAAATGTTACTTTATGCAAACTGGTGTCCTCCTTTTTGCTCATGCGTTCCCTCTTTTTGGGGATTCACAACTGGCCACCTCCTGCTGCATCAGAAGTGCACACAGAGACAGCACACATGTGCACGCCATGGCTGGGCTGCCGGCATCTGATCCCCTGCGCTATGCAGTGTGGCATGGGCCACACGTTGACACGGGCAATTGTCTGTTCAGGTTAAGCGTCAAAAGGGAATGGTGGTCTGGCCCTTCCTCTCGTCAGACTGGCTTCTTGGCACTGTTGAAGCTGACATGTTGGACTACTGTAATGTGCTCTACGTGGGGCTGCCCTTGAAGACAGTCCAGATTCTTCAATTGGTTCAGAATAGAGCTGCCAGGTTGTTAACAGGGACCAGAAGGTATGAACACATAATGCCGGTCCTTCCCACCTACACTGGCTACCAGTTGAAGTCCGGGCCCAATTTAAGGTGCTGGTGATGTCCTATAAAGCTCTAAATGGCTTGGGTCCTGGATACATGAAGGAGCGCCTTCTTCCCTGTGTGTCTGCCCGCCCCTTAAGATCTGGAGTGGAGGTCCTTCTCCAGAAGCCCTCCTTGAAGGAGATTAGGTAGGTGGCTACCTGGAGAAGGACCTTTTCTGCAGTGGCACCCTGACTGTAGAATATGCTCACCAGAGAGGTTCTCTTGGCACCATCACTTTATTCTTTTTATTTTCCCAATATTTTAAGGTTTGACCATTATTTTAATATGGGTTTTATTGCCAAAATTTGATTAGGATGCTGTGTTTTGTTTTATTTTTTGTTTTACTGTTAAACCATCCCAAGACTTCAGTAAGGGATGGTCTAAAAAGTTATACATACATACGTACATACATGGTTAGTCCTCTTGCTGGAGTCTGGCTGCATATGCAGCCACTGCATGATGCTCAGTAGGCCCTGTGAGGGCTTTGGGTCCAAAATCTTTGCCTTATGTGACAAACACTACAATACTGAGCTGAAGAGTTTAAATAAAATTGGAACCTTGGAACGAAAACCAAGATGCAAGGTGGATGCCAGAAAGCACTTCCTCATGGTTAGGACCCCGAGGACATGGAATGGGCTTCCATGGGATGTGGTTGAGGCCCCATTGGTGACGGTGTTCAAGGATAGGATGGACATGCACATGGTAGGCATGTCATAAGCAGAGCTGGCTGGAGCCAGGGGGTCAGACCTGAAGAGCCCTTCTGACTCACTCTGTTTCTACATTTTATGAAAGGGGGAACATCCAGGAATTTTTTTGGTGGGGGGGGGGGATTTACCAGAAAAAGTAGCAGTGCTTTTCTTTTCTTGCTAAAACACAATCGCAATCACCATGTTTCCCCACGAGGCCTCATTCAGAACAACTCTGCCATGACACAGCAGCACATGGGAGTCTTTGCTGCAAAAAGGTCCCACTGCAGGTCCCACTGATGCCACGACACCCAAGCGAGGCATTGCGAGAGACACCGCAGTTGCTGCAATGCCGAGAGGTGGGCTTCTGCAGCCCTGAAACTGTTATGTGGAAGTCTATATTAATAAATATAAGAGTTTTTCCATGCGGTAATATTGTAACATTTCCTATGACAGTTACGTAGATTCATTTAATTTTCTAGTATGTATGTTACATATTATTTTTTCTTACTGGCTGTATACAATTATGTTCAATATTCGATGCATAATGTGTAGTTTATATGAATAGTAAAGCAAAAAGGAAAAAAAGAAAGAAGGGGATTGCATTGTGCAATTTCTTTTTAAGTCAGAGGCAGCTCTTTCATTCCCAGGCTGTACTGATGAGTGCTTATGAATGCAGTAGTGAAAAACCTAGACCAGGTAACCAAAACACAGTAGTCACAAACCAGTACAGAGTTTTGCATGCTTAACTTCATGCTTAACTTCAGTTAATTTCAAGTATATGGAATAAATGCTGCACGCTGGCTTGTGGCCATGGTCAACAAAATAACCCGCCCTCCCATGTATGCATATTTCACTAATCAGGGCAGCAAATCTGTTAGAAGTGTGTAGGAAGTGTAAGAAGTGTGTAATAATAAATCAGTCCTAGTTCTTTCCTCTCCCCTCTCCTCTTTCTTACACACACACACTCACTCATGCACTCACACCAGAAGAAAATAAAAATGGAGAGCACTCTTTGAAATGAATTTTGCTAGGAGCGTTACCTTGACATCGACCCAAAGACATGACTTCAATTTTCTCTTGTTTCTGGCAAGATGCTTCTTTGATCTGACATGCATTATCATAAGATTTCCCATCCGAAGCACAGAGGGGATTGAAGTTGGTTTGAGAACAGTCAATGTTGCACACACACCTGGAAAGATAAAAATGGCTAATGTAAAAATAAAACAAAACAAATGAATAATAAAGGAAAGCTTCACAACCCTGTCACAGGAAAAATAAATGGTAAAAATAATAGGGGTAAAGAAAATGCTCGACATTTTGCTATGGGTTTGCAATTATAATGGGACGGGATGAAAGTGAAGATCCTTGGTGTGGCACTGTCTACATTTCTGGATAGGACTGCCGAAAAAGTAAAATAGAAAAAACTAGGGGGGAATGAAGGGTAGTGCGAAAGTAACAAGAAGTTTCCAGTTTAATACCAACTCAGGAAGAGAAGCTCTTCGGGGGTATCACACCGCTTATGACATTCCTTTGTGCCAGCTGTTACCCTTTAGGCACCAGGCAGGTATCTTTTTCTCCCAGGTTTTTTTTAATATATACATTCTGTGCTGCAACCCACTTCAACCAGTGTTGGTTTCACAGTGTTCAATTTGCTCTACTGTATTGTTTTTCCTGTACTGCTTTGACCGCATGGATTTGATTCTTATTTGTACCTTATTATGAACAAACAGACTTGGAGCATTTAGCTGATGTGCAACATGCAAAAGCACTACGTGAATAAATAAAGATTTGCTTCAGCCATAAATTTACGGGGCGATGCCGGACAAGCTACTGTTCTCCAGGTGTCAGCACCCTTACCCCACACCGCCAGCGGAAGATGATGCAAATTCTTGTAAGCATTTACAAGATAATGTATGCAAAGTCCTTTGAGCAAGTCACAGACTGTGGCGTTTTACTTTGTCTGCCCTGACTACATACAAAAGGGAGGGTGGAGGGTCTTATTCCAACACCAGAAAGCCCACAAGTGAGATGGGAACGAACCCTTGAAGCTCCTGCCACCTACCTCTTCCTCATCAGTTGCCCCAGCCACTTGTCTCTGTCCCCAGCTGAGCTGCTAGGAGTATGGGAGGATATGGGAGTAAGGGAGGATATGGTCAGTTCAGCTGCCCTTTCAGAGGGCTGGAAGGGCAAAGATGCTGGTAGGTGCTTGACCATGGAACCTGATCACAACTTCCAGGAGGTCGGGGGAGGGGAGGGGGTTAACAGGAGGAGAGCCTTCTTAGTGGTGGCACCCCATCTGTGGAATATGCTCCCCAGAGAGATATGCCTGGCACCAGCTCTATTAACCTTTCAGTGTTGGGCAAAATAATTTTTATTCACCAGAGATTTTAAAAATTAATGGTTGGAAAATTTATATATTCGTATCTTAACACTGTATCGCATCATCATCATCATCACCTTTGTATGCTGCCTCATAGCCCATAGGGCTCTCTGGATGGCTTACAACAGAACAAGAAAATACATATTCCATACAAATGCAATATTATATTCAAGCAATACAATCAAGCAATACAGTATTTAACTATAAGCAATGCAGAATCAAAACAAAACTTAGTACAATAATATAATATATATCAGCAATTCAGAATACCAATATATAATACAATACAATGCATATCAATAATACTAAGTTACACTATAATCTCCCTCCCCCCCCATACACACACAAAGCCCATCAGTACAGTTAGCCAAAGAAACGCAGCCACACAGTCTCAGGATACACCAGGGTAGCCCAAATGGCCCATGAGAAAAACGGTCTGGTTTCTGAGTCCCCACGCAAGAGGCATACCCGGTGCTGTGTGGTTCCCTGCTCGTGGCTGGCTCCTCTTGGCGGGGCTCTCCCCTCCCCGCCTCCTCGGTGGCACCCTGTTTCTCCCACAAATGGCAGCGCCAACTGAGGTCGAGCTGGAGAACATGGGGGGGGGGGAGAGCACGTGTGGCCCCCGCGCTGGTCTGCAGCGGGTGGGAAGAGGCGGCAGCAGTGGGATTCTATGCACTTACCACTGTTTGCAATTTTTAAGGGCTGTTTTTAGCTTTTTGTATTTTACTTGGGTATTTTAGAATTCGTATCTGGGGTTTTAATGCTTGTAAACCACCCAGAGAGCCCTTTGGGCTGTTGGGGCGGTATATAAATGTAATAATAAACGAATAATGGACTTTCTAACAAGGGCCCTGCTTCCCGGTTCTTTTCCTGGCATCGTTCGAAGTGCTGATGGCTATGTTTTAGAGGACAAAACCTCCTGGGCTTGCTGCTGTTCTTCACCCACTGGATCCCCTGACTTTTGCTGTGGTTTGGACAATGGCGTTAGAGAAGAGGAGTGGGGGAAGGAGAGGGAGGAGGGGATGCCATGGCCTGCTGGCTCACGGGCTCCCTGCCTGCCCAGGAAGCAAACGGTAACAGGGAAGGCCACGAGCAAGAGGAGGTGGGCAGAAGGTCACATGGGTGCCCCTTCAAACCCTGGGGCTGGCACTGCCTTGCTCAAGGGCTTCCGAAACTTGGAGCAGGGCTCACGTCCTGAGGGCTGGCTGTTCAGGAGGTTGACCTTCTCCATGGCTGGGCGTAGCATGTGGCACACCTTGCCCTGGAGGAGTGCTTTGCCCTTCCCTCCTGCCTGTGTGCGACCTCGGCCTCGCCAGGCCTGTCCATCCCTGCAGGCAAGCGGCCCGCAGCTGGAGGATTCTTCTGTAGCTGATCCCCTGCTATTTCATTCGGTCACTTTATATGCTTCGCCCATCTGCCTCTATTGTTCTGCTACTGGTGAAGGTTTAATTCCTGTTGGATTTGGGGAAAAGGGCAATTCTAATCTGTAGTAAGCTGCATGGAATGCTGCAGGCTGTAGATCCTTTACACAAGGATCATCATAACGACTGCCTAGAATTAGCAACTGTCAGAAGGGACAAGACTGGGCTCACCTCCCCGCACCCCCATGGCGCACTCTTTCTCTCTGCCTTATATAGGACAAGTGTGAATGACAGACCCATCAAGTATAGCTCTGCCATAAAGAAGGATGCAAACGGAGCCATGCTTGTGGAAATGATAAAATACAGCAAACTTGGAATTTTAAAGCTCTTCGGGGGGTTAGACGATGTACAGGTTCTTCTACAGAAATTAATGACACAGTAACTTATACAATACACTCCTATTTGCATAATGTCAGCTCTGATAAAACCAAAGTTTGGCATGTTCATTTCAATAATGTTGTCACAATAGGATGCACCGACTGGATGCCCCCGGTGACTGAAATGCTATGCCTGGTTAAGCAGGGATGAAAGATGCCTTCATTCTAACCGGCTCAGCCCAGGCTCCTGCATGGCCTCTGCTGAACGGAAGCACGTGCTTCTCTCACCACCCCCCTGAAGCATCGTGCGTGCATTTCTGAGCTCCCACAGCATACACTGAACCAAAAATGGCAGCGAATGAACATGAGAAATTGTGCCCTCCCTTGTTTTCTTGTTCATTTATTTATGGGGTTGTTGTATGCTTACGATATGTACCTCAGAATTATTACCGTGTGTGTGTGTGTGTGTGTGTGTGTGAGAGAGAGAGAGAGAGAGAGAGCGAGTCCATCTTAAATCTTTGCAAGCATGCATTTTTTTTAAGCCAAAGAAGGCTAAACCAGAAACAATATTAACTTCACCATGTTGCATTTCCTGTGTAATTTATGGAGTTTAGTTTGAAGTATAAATGGTAACAAATTAAAGAACAGAAAGAGGCAGCAGGAATAATATCTATTTGCATATTTAAAGTAAAATATTGGGAAGGAGGCTTGTAAAAGTACATATAGAGAAGTAGATTTAAGAAGAAAAACTGGCCCCCATGCACCACGTTTTCATGGATTTTCAGTGAAACTGACACTAAAATAACCACAGAGATTTAGATGCTCCACTGACACAGGTAACTAGGAAGAAAAATACTATGCGTAAGATTTTCAAGCAGTTCTCTGGTATCTGCCCCATGTCCATATAAATTGGCCTTAATGTGCCAATTCTTAAACTGCTGTATCATCTCATGTCCCAGAAAAATCAACAAAATTTGACTTATGTATGACCTATACTTGGCATTTGTCTGCATGGTGAACATGTTTGCTATGTGCAGAGCTGTGTGGCCAGCCAACCAGACATCTTAGATGCATGCACATGTTGCAAAAGATACGCAGTGTTGCTTTCAAGCAAAATGTGGCCTACAATTTACATACCTGTGGAGGGAATCACTAGTACAAAACTAGGGTACATAGAGCAGTAAAGGGCAAAGCAGCCCTCTGGGCATTCAGGATGGCAGCTGAAGTCACTGGCCCTAAATATGATCATGTGAAAGAAACCACCATGACTATTGCTGAGATTGATTGTCATGCAATCACACCTTAGATTACAGCCCAGCTGCCATAGTTACACTTCTGAAAATTTCTATGGAAGGACTTTAAACTTCCATGTGTAAGCGGTTTTTCTCTGAAACAGCTTCTAGACAAAATTCCCAACAAAGTAGACAAATGTTTGAATGGCTGGTGAATACCTAAAAAGGTCTCATAAAGTAGGTGAAGATGAACTGAGGCACCACCAACCTTTCTGACATTATCCTTGATGTGCAGAGTGCATTGGAAGCTCCAGGGATATTCACAGGTCTCCTTGTGATGCAGGTTGACCAGTCCAATGGGCTGGAGCCACTAACATATAGACAGCCTAGCAGCTACTCTGCTCTCTATAAGAGCTCAGAATTATTATTGTTGTTGTTGTTGTTGTTATCATCATCATTATTCATTATTATTATTCATTCATTATATTTATATCCTATGTTTCTCCCATTGCAGAGCTCAAGGTGGTTACATGCAGTTTCTAGTAGTCTCCCCTCCAAGCTCGGGTCAACCCCAACCCTGCTTAGCTTCAACATGGTGGATACCTTATGTGCCTTCAGACCATACTCTCAGGATAATTATTCCAGATTCTGGAGCTGCTTCAATGCATGGTGAGGCCTTGAGGAATCCCAATCCAAATCTGGTTCCTCAGAAACCTCTCCAGAACAGACACAAAGAATTATCCTGTTACTGATTGCAAGGTCTTAGCAGACAAATATTATGCTCCTTTAAGATATGCTTTTCCTAGTGTGAGTTCTTAAGACTGGGAGCACAGTGGGCT